GGAATGAAAAGAAAAGATCATCTGTGTTTGGCCTTTAACTGATACCCCACAAAAAGCGAATTTATCAAACTGTGGGCAGAAAAGAGAGAGAAAGAGCATTCACAAGATATATAAGAATGTTTTACTACCATACTGGACATAGTAAATCTATCAGAATTCGACCCTTTGGTTTTAGAAATATTGATGGTTTGGACACACGAATCTATCAGAAGTAGTGATAGTTTTTGAGGTTCTGGAAAAAGCAATTTCATTAGTTTGAATCCAATAGTTTTTTAAGAGGGAAGTGTAGAAAAATATCTCAAATCAATAAAACTGCCCCTAAAGTACTTTTAATTTAAATGCCTATGAATTAAGGTGTCATGACTCATTTTTTTTCCCAATTTAAAAAGTAAAGAAGACAAGAACACTATCAAACAAACTAGCTTATGAAAATCAAGTAATACACTGAAACTTTTTAGTTATCTCAAATGTATACTGAAAGTACAGAATACAACTTAGAAGTATGAATTTTGAGATTAAGAGGGAAACTACACAGAATTAGCTGAAGCCTACTTATGAAATTTCCAATTGAATTAAAGACCACTCTATAAGTACATCCATTTTTTACTAAAAATGGATGTGCCAAATTAAAAATAGAAATGTGTGTAAGGTTTTACTGTATCTATTTTATTTAGTGTTAAACTTCATCACTGAATCTAATAAAGAAATGCTCCCTTAAGGACAAAGAAACAGAAAGGAAAGCACTTGCCTCAGTTACTGCAACGGTAGCTTTTACCAGGCACTAAAGTTACCACAGCAGCAGGTAGCCATTCAAGTAGCTCACGATTAAAACCAAAGTCAATTCCTTCTTTACAAAACTGTGAGCCAAACTAATTTGTCAGCAACTGGTATCGGGCAAAAGTACAGATTTCTATCTGCCCTATTGAATAGCTAATTCAAGTTTGTTTTCTGGAAAAACACTAGCCTTAAAAGCCAAACACTTAAGAACACAGACAGACACTTGGCCAGCATCACACTATGGCTTCCTTCCACACTTCATGAAGCTAATTGGAGGCCCGAGTCTGTTAGTGCTCTGCATGCATAATGGTTTTGTAGGCCATAAACATATGCTTCTTTCACATGTGTAGTCTTTCAGCATCAACGAGGAATGTGGAGAAAGTGAAAAATACAGACTTCATACTTACTGTAAGGGACACATTCATACTGGACTTCAAGATATTTGTATGTTCCAGGACATGGATCAGGAAAAACATCTGACCCAGTAACTACTATGCACTGCGTTCGGTTGTTGCACCTGGAAAACAAAACAAATCAAACTAGCGTGACATAATAATTTACTTGTATATTTTTACTAAAGAAATAGAATAGAAAAATGATTCATTTTTACCTCAAGCAACTAGTACCAAAAAACTAAAAATTCAATTGATATTAGGTTGCTCTTCATTATTTAAGAGTTAAAAAAATCATATTTTCTTTATGTTGTAATATTTCTCTATCATGGGTTACACTAAACTTTAACTCGAAGTAAAAAGAAAATAGCCAGCAGTTTTCTATTATTCTACTATATATTTTAATTGAAATTTTTAACATATTCAATTTTAACATAATTCAATTTTAACATGTACTGGAAAAAGAAACTTATCAGGATACTGACCATATTTAAGAATTAAAATTACAATAAAAGTGGTACTACGATTGAACAGAAACACACGATCATAAATTGAAACTTGGAAGTAAGTTTTAACAACATATATTAAAACAAAGGAGGACCCAGGTTTTTAAGTTTATCTTCTAAATCCGTTTTTTTTTTTTTTTTTTTGGTTAAGTTTTCTATTACTGGCACTTTCTATAATCTCGAATACCACATACCAAGCTAATTGATCTCACCTTCCATGCTATAGCCTGCATAAATAATAGAATGCATTTAAAGCATTTAGCACAGTGCCTGGTACATACTGAGTGTCTAAGCACTGCTGTTATTCTTGTTATCTTCATAGTTCAATGTGGTTACACTATTAATATATGACTATGATCCTTGGTTCTTTTAAATTAGTAATCCCTGAAATCACTAATTTGATTCCTACAATGTCCTACATATTAGTATTAGAAGTACTTTTTTTTTTGTATCATTAAATTATCAAGATTATTGGAATTAAGTTAGAATTCCAGGCAAAAATATATTTAAGTTCTGTAAATTTATCCAAATGATCTTTTTATAAGCTTTGTAAAGGCAAGAACTATCCTTTATAATTTTACTTAATTACAATCCAATGGAATGTAACATTTGCAGGCTTTTCTTATATTTTCTAATAGTATATAAATTAAGGCAACACAAGCAGAACAAGAGCATTATAAAAAATTTATTTAACAATGTGAATATAAGATATTCCATAGTGCATAAAATAACTGGACTGTAAAATGATTTTAAAAAATGAAAAAGCAGTCCAGTTTTTAGCACAGAAATTAACTAAAGAACAATGGAAGCAGAAGTGTGTTTGAGAGGGGTAGGTACTGTTAAGTTATGCATGCCGGAGCCATTTCAGCTCAAACCAGGTTGACTCTTCCTTGAAGAGCAGCAAGACCTGAAAACTTCTACAGACTCGAAAAAGTAAATTTTATAGGTCAAAGTATAATATAATGAACTTCAAAGAAAAGTCTTAAATATCAAATAAATTATAACTAATATTGCTTGTGCAAATACTAAACTAATGATGTTTTATCACAGTTAATCTAAAACACTATATATGCCACATTAAAAAAAAAACGTAACATACAAAATAATTTTCAAGAGCATGGACAATGTAAATGGTACCCTGTCACATTTTTATGCAACATCATGTTTTACTCTCATTCTATATTTCTTTTAAATTGGCTCAATCACTTGAGGAAATTTTGCCAATGGTTCTCAATTTGGTGTAAATGAATTATTTTAACATGAATCACAGAACCAATTTTATATCCTAAAGTTCTAAACAGCAGATGGATTTAAGATTTCTCAATAGGTCAATATCTAATGTCTCAACTAATAACTCATTTTCTTCTCTGTTAAATTTTACAGCAACAAGAGAGTCTATTGCTTTTTAAAAGTTTCAACCACTAACCTGGGCCCCATCAAAAACTAAAGTTCTTTTATTTCCTTCCTTGTATCTATTTATACCTATGAGGATCCTCCCTTTGTATCACCCTTTCTACCTTTCAGAAACAAAGTAATCTAAACTCCCTGCGAGATAGAGATTCCTTTTATATACTCCCTCAGCATGCACTTCATAACCACTCAACAATGTTAATTCTGACGTGTTGTAAATGGTTTTAAAATATACCTAAAAGATATTCATGAAAGCAAATCCATAAAATAATTACACTTGAGAGTAAACTTTTCAGATACTTCATCACTTTCCCCTCTTCCACCTGAGGCCTCCTCTCACACCACAAAACTAAGAACACGTGGGAGAGAAAGGAAATTGTACTTGAGATTAAAATGCACAAAGAACATGAAGGACGATGGTAAAGGAGGCTGTAGCTCCAAGGATGTGGAAATTTATACTAGTTTTTCAAAAATAAGGAATACTTTGAAGATTACCCAGTTTTTCTTGCTAGAAGATTTGATGAATAAACATGACTTTAATATGGGATTTAAAATTTCTTTTCTTTTATATTTTTCAAAGTCGCAGTATGTTTACAAGAAGTATACATGGGATAAGTATTCCTGCTTCCATTATATTTTGTTCAAAAGAAGACCTATACCATAAAATGAAAAATAATTGCTCATATTTACTCTTTTTCTGAGAGTAACTTTGCATTAGGCATGTGACCAAAATTACAAGTTCAAATAAATGTCAAAAGCAATTGCCATAATTAATAATCACATTGTACAGAGCATAATTTTAAGAATTAACATAGCAGACAGTGTTAATTCTAGGGCTATATTCTTAAGTAAAATTGAAGGTAAAGTGATTTAATGGAGTTCCTACAAATAAAATTGTGGAGATTTCTAAAATTCATGGATTCGAAAGATGTCAAAAATATTCATTTTATTATCGGAAGTACAAGAAACTAATTTGAGGGAAAATATTTGGAGGCTAAAAATAGTAAAGGGTCAGCAAGAAGAGGAATACAAAAGTGTAAGAATATCAGATTTGCATACCAGTATCTTTAATTCATGGGAAAGAAAACCAAAACTTTTAGAGGACCAAATGATGGAAATAAAAAGACATACTACTGCTTTATGAATGAAGCAAACAGCTTTAAGTTTCCACATATAGTACAAGTGGGACACAAGGTAAAAAGAAATACCTAATGTGAGCTGTTAGTAAGAAAAATCTGAAAATTCCTTAACCAATATACTGTTGGTAAGATTGTAAAATTATAAATACTAACATTTAAAACAAACAAGAACACAATTAGTTAGCCATGGAAGCAAAGTAAATTCCCACCAACTGCTCTGCTTTCATTCTAATGAAAATGAAAAGTCAAAACTAAGCCAAGAAAGAAAAGGCATTCAGCTGTTTGTATTCTCAGCCCTGGGCATAGTTCCTGGCATAATTTTCTCCTTCTATCCCCCAGGAGGGGAAAAAAAATGATATCTTTATTAGTAAAGATAGGCTTGTACTAACAATTAAAGTATCAGTATATTTTAGTAACAAATACCAATGAATTACATTAATAATCTACATTTTTCTTGTGTTAAACATAATTTTGATTATGAATGAGAACTAGAAAAAAATAGGGTTTTTAAAATAGGTGTTGTCTATGGCAATGCTACCCTGAACAAGCCCAATCCCGTCTGATCTCAGAAGCTAAGGAGGGTCGGGCCTGAGATAGGAGACCACCTAGAAAGACTAGGTGCTGTAGGCATAAAAAATAAAAAATAAGGGATTGTAAACTGACAAGGTCCTTGCAATCTGTGAGGTCAACCAAGGGTTGCCTCACCTAACAACAACAACAAAAAATGGTGCATCTTTGATTACAACCTGAAATACAATTACTGTTCATCATATAGAAAATTTATACTAGATATATTTTAAACACTTATTTTATATTTGTAGAGATACCCAGATGAATTAGGATAGTTAAAGCATTGGTTCTCAAAATGTGGTCCTCAGATCAGGAGTACTCGCATCAACTGGGAACTTGTTAGAAGTGAATTCCCAAGCCCGACCTGAGACCAACAAAGTCAGAAACTGGAGGTCGATAACTAACAATCAGCATTTTAACTAGCTCTGCAGGTGATTCTAATGAATAAAAAACACTGAGTTATAAAAAAGTTTAGGTACTTCAGTAAAGAATAAGTATGTATGGCAATGCATGTTGTTGCTCTCAAAATCTCAATAAAATGCAAGTGAAATGGAAAATCATTAAGTGATGAGTACGATTTATGCAGCCAGTACGCATGATCATATGAATCAAGGGTTTTAGTTGCTAAAATTTTGAGTAAGCAGGCTAGTTATTTATAAATTCCTAACATAGAGGATCAAACAAGTACAATTTCTAAAAACATGTCTCCATCACACATAAGCCCATTTTTAAAAGAGGGAAAAAACAATCTTTTCTTAAAAATTTACTAGCTAATGAAAATTTCTAACACTAAATAAACCTAGAAATAATTCTGATTATTTGTAAAACTAAACTATATTCCCTAGGAGAACATCATTAAAAATATAACAATAACAACATAAATATTCACTGTAATCACTGCAAATTTTTCTATATTCAACCTTTGGGCTTATTTATTCAAATAAATTTTAATAGAGTGGCTCAACTACAGAAAGACATTACAAGGTATGATTGTTTTTAGAAAGAACTCAAGAAGCATAAAGGCTTTTCTTGCAAAAATGTCTAAGCAATTTCTGGGGTATAATGTATGATTTAATACCACATAGTAAATAGATGTAAATGGACATTTGCATCCGGTCTCAAAATCTAAGTACTTAATCATTCTTCATCTAATCACATTCAAAAATTTCCAAAAGTTGGCATATATGGACAAAAGCTAATCATTATTTCACATCACTGGGTTAAAAGCACAATCACAAAATATCACCAAATATTTTTGGTATACATTATTTTAGGTTTTAACTTTCTATCATATTAAATATTTTTTACTCTAATCTTATTACTAATCTAAAATAGAAATCTAGTATCACACATTCTGAGAATTCCTATGTAACTAAATTAAATCCAATAATAAATGTTTTGTAACATTATTGAGTCCAAATATCCTAATAAAAATATCATTTTTGACATTAATATTCATAAGACTTACATAAAACCCATCAACTACAACAAAGAAAATCT